CTTTTAAAGAACATACCAGGATTGTGGATACGATCCAAAAGCTTCACAGAGCGTGCACTAACAACACCCCCAACGTGCACAAGAAATCCAGGAGGAAATGCCGTCAAGGTAAAAAATGGAAATTCCTAGTAGAAACAAGAGGAAAAAATATAACTGAGTGTGTAAAGTACAAAAAATTTGCTTGTTAAAAAGCTGTCATAAGGAAATAAATTCCATCCCTTAACAAAGGTTACCAATTATACATTACACATGCTTTGTATGTAAGTTTCCTTGGATGTTTAGAGTTTTTAATCCACTTTCTCATATATGCAGAACCCAAGCACTCTTTTCATCAATTCCCAGTAAGAAAAATGTTCTTGGATTTCCTTCCTCTCAATCTCCTACTCAGACAGGACTGCGAATTGAGATGAGGAGATTCCCCTCTACCCCATACCTACTTCTTATTGGGACTGACTTCCCCTCACTTTAATGCTTTTCCCCAAGTCCAGGCCACTGGTAAGACTCAGAAGGCCTGGAGCTAGAGATCTAAAAGAATGTGGGACTGAGGGAGATGTAGGGAGAGGATGAGCCGTGTGGGTTAAGAAATACATAGAACAGTGAAGATGGGGCAAATTTCAAGTTGAGGTGTGTAGAGAATCGCTGTGTGATTATTTACTCTATCAAGACCAGGGCAGCAGGAGAAAATGTAAGTTCATAAATGTATTTTAAGGAAAGGAGAGAGGTAAGTGATGACAGCAAGGGAAACAATACAATTCCACATGTTTTTTGAAGCTATATTCTTCCTTTCTCTCTCAAGGACATCAATCTCATCAATTTAGAGACAAAGAGAAGCATGTGAGAGAAGAAAACAGTAGAGAAAGGAAAGTCATTGAAATAGTACCCAGGAAGAAAAGGGAGCCCCTGTAGCTGCCCAAATATAAAGGTCTATCACATTATTCAAATTGCATTTGGGTCAGGGAACTAAATATCTGACTTGTCTTGCTCCAAGATTAATATAGCTCACTTAACCAGAAATCACTTACGAGTAGCCTCAGCTATTCAGAACCTAACTGAGAACTGGAAAATAAGCAAAACAGGGCTCTCAACAGTAAAAAGAACTGTTACAGTTCCAAGTACTAAGTTTATGTGCTTTAATCATAAGAAATCCCCACTGATCATATTCACAGTATGGCACATAATAATTTTAAAGATATAACTTTAGGGACATATTCTAAAATCTCAGTGTCCTTTTCCCAGACCACAGTAGATTAAATGCAGCAAATAAAAGCTGGAAGATAAAGAGATACAGAATACTACTAGAAGCAGGTACATTAAAAGCAGCAAGAACACTGACTGGAGAATACAAACGTAAAAGATGGAGAATACAAATTCACCAAAACATAATTTAACAAAGCATAGCAATTGGAGTCATTCAGCAAAAGGCAAACAGTTTGGTACATCTCAGTAACCCAGGAAGGTACAGAATAAATGTATATATGTATATGTATATATGCATATACATATATATGTATGTGTATGTATATATGCATGTGCATGTATATATAATTAGAAGGTAATTCAGTTAGAATGTATAAGTAATCTTTAAATTAATAAGGGCAAGAAAGCCTAGGCTATGTAAAGAAGAGTAAAAAAACAATTTATGGAAGTGGGTAGGTTTGGCCCAAATGAAAGCAGAGGAAAGGGAAGGCAAGTGAGAAGACAGAAGGGGAATTTCACTTAAATGTATTACAAAATATTTAGTCAAAATGCCTTCTTATTGCCCCCTGAATTTTTTCAATATATATTTTAAGTGAAAAAATGTCCAGGTAAGCTTGTGTTACTACAAACTTGAGTATTTTACCTAATAAGCTAAATCTTAGAAAAAGAATTTTTTCAACACAAGTTTTTAATTTCCTCAAAATACTGAGGCATAATATAAAAAAGCCCTTTAAATTTACTTTTTACATTTAAATACAGGATGTCCCAAAAATATATACACATACATATTTTTGATAGCTCAATTGATGTTTCTTTCTTTTCCAATTTAACCCATTGGAATTAATAATTATTCAAAGTATGTATACATTTTTGGGGACATCCTATATTATAAATATTCTGGACCAGAGACACTGAAAATAAGTTTTTTAAGCAAATGGAAAGTACTACTTCCTTCTAAAACATAAAAATAAATTGGGCCCTAACTGGTTTGGCTCAGTGGATAGAGCGTCGGCCTGTGGACTCAAGGGTCCCAGGTTCGATTCCGGACAAGGGCATGTACCTTGGTTGCGGGCACATCCCCAGTGGGAGGTGTGCAGGAGGCAGCTGATCGATGTTTCTCTCTGATCGATGTTTCTCTCTCATCGATGTTTCTAACTCTCTATCCCTCTCCCTTCCTCTCTGTAAAAAATCAATAAACTATATTTTAAAAAATAAAAAATAAAAATAAATTGGGTAAATTCATATATTAAAAACTTCTGCAACCCTAGCCGGTTTGGCTTAGTGGATAGTGTTGGCCTGCGGACTGAAGGGTCCCAGGTTCGATTCTGATCAAGGGCACATGCCCAAGTTGCAGGCTCGATCCCCTGGAGGGGGTGGGGGGGGTATGGAGGCAGCCGATCAATGATTTTCTCACATCATTGATGTCTCTCTCTCTCCCTCTCTCTCTCTCTCTCTCTCTCTCTCTCTCTGGCAGCCGATCAATGATTTTCTCACATCATTGATGTCTCTCTCTCTCTCTCTCTCTCTCTCTCTCTCTTTCTCTCTCTCTCTCCCTCCCTCCCTCTCTGAAATCAATAAAAACATATATTTTTTAAAAATCTGCATATAAGACTTGACGTATGAAAAAATGAACCTAAATGCTTTCCCTATTTCGGATTCTTTGACTCTTCTACCCAAATTTCCGAAGATGGGATAAATGAAGAGGAAAAACATCTAGAGCAGTGGTTCTCAACCTTCCTAATGCCGCGACCCTTTAATACAGTTCCTCATGTTGTGGTGACCTCCAACCATAAAATTATTTTCGTTGCTACTTCATAACTGTAATTTTGCTACTGTTATGAATCGTAATGTAAATATCTGATATGCAGGATGTATTTTCATTGTTACAAATTGAACATAATTTAAAGCATAGTGATTAATCACAAAAACAATATGTAATTATATATGTGTTTTCCGATGGTTTTAGGCGACCCCTGTGAAAGGGTCATTCGACCCCCAAAGGGGTCACGACCCACAGGTTGAGAACCGCTGATCTAGAGGGTCACAGCAGAAAAAGTAGGGAAATAGCTGCCCAAAGAGGCAGAGGCCAACTTCACCTCTGTGCTGCATGTCCCCGGTTCATGCATGCAGCACACCCACTCACTTTAACACACATACTTTAACCTACAGTATAGAAAATGGCAGTTATTCAACCTCAGAACTACTGCTCATGTCTACAGCCTACCTGTAGCTATGAGGTTTACCACCTATCGTCTCCACCACAATCACCAGCAGCTATGAAGTACTCAGAATATGCCAGCCCTGAGCAAAGTATTCTAAAACTGTCCTTTAAAATTGTTCCCATACCCTAAGAAAGAGGTACTATTATCTCCACATTTTAGGTAAAAAAAAAAAAACAACTGAGCTCAAGAGGGCCTAGACCAGCGGTTCTCAACCTGTGGGTCGTGACCCCTTTGGGGGTCGAACGACCCTTTTCACAGGGGTCCTAAGACCATCGGAAAACACATATATAATTACATATTGTTTTTGTGATTAATCACTATGCTTTAAATTATGTTCAATTTGTAACAATGAAAATGCATCCTGCATATCAGATATTTACATTACGATTCAAAACAGTAGCAAAATTACAGTTATGAAGTAGCAATGAAAATAATTTTGTGATTGGGGGTCACCACAACATGAGGAACTGTATTAAAGGGTCGCGCGGCATTAGGAAGGATGAGAACCACTGGCCTAGACTCTTACTGAACAAGAAACCTCATCTGGCTTCTTATTATTTCTGGTTAAAACATTAAGTTAAAGAGTTGATTTTAATCTCTAGTCTATTATTATACCTGATGAATGTATGGGTTCTCTAGTCCACAAGGACAGCTTCCTTAAGATCAGCGCAAGCACACACTGCTTTCATTGCTCAGATGAAACTTCCAGGGACTATAGGAGACGTTTCCTCTGGAAAATCCTTATATTTAAAACATCTTGCCCTTTGGGACCTAGATAAGACTTCATATGTTGATGTTTTGACATAAGCCAAGTGCATGTAGCATAAATCTATTAATAGCATGTACTCAGGACAGGCTAGTTGAAAAATCTTGAGAACACAAGGGAGTATCTCTTTTAAGATTTAAATAGGATTTTTCTTAGATGTTTAAATAGCTTATTTTTAAATCATATGTTCTTTTTATTATCCTAAGAGACCAGAGTAACTTTCTAGACATAAAACTCCATGCCAGATTCCTATGATTTATTATATAATTTTACCCCCACTTCTAAAAAGTCATAATTTATCAAATAAGTTTGCTCTTTATCAATGTTTCCCCAAAATGTGTTCCTCACTAAAACATATTTAAATGAAAGATTCCATGGTAAAACATATTTAAAAAACACGAGGTCAAACTAAGTTAACTAGGTTTCTTTACTGAAGAAAAATAAACATCCCAGAATCGACAGAGTAATTTTATTTTTCTTACAGGTGAAAGAAGAGTCATATTGAAAAATATATCTATTTGCCTTACATCAAATAGTTCATAGGCAAAACCTAAATCTAAATAAAACTTTTAATTCTATTTCTCATCTCCCAGTAATTTGACACCTGTTCCCAAGATCTTGTCAACTTATCTTATATAATAAAAGCCTAATATGCAAATTGTCCCCTCGAGCGGTCATTCAACCTCGAGCGGTCATTCAACCTGGAGACCAGGAGTTCAACCACTAGCTATGACGTGCGCTGACCACCAGGGCGTGGCATGGAACATAGCAGGCTACCTGGGGGCGGGGGTGACGGGGATGGAGGTGCGGTGAGAATGTGGGGTGTCTGCCGAGCTCGCTCTCACTCCCCCTGCTTACCTCCCCCGGGACGCCAGGGCTCCTGTGCTGGGGAAGCCCCCGCTCTGAGGTGCCAGGCGCCCGTGAGGAGCCCGCCTCACACCAACGCAGCCTCATTCGGGTGAGCCAGGCCGCAGCCACCGGGACCGCAGGGGCTGGTCGGTCTCTCCGTGGGTTCACGCAGGAGCCAGTCTGAGAGGCTGGCTGGGAGAGAGCACACTGCCCGCCTGGCTCCAGTGTGGCGCCACTGGGCGGCCCAGAGGCCCATGCTGCACCCTGGCCCGCAGCATCCGGCCGGCTCACTGCATCTCCACATGGGGACTCGGGCGCCATGAATCAGGCGGAGGGGGGCGCACGGGAGCTCCGGGACCCAGGTGCTGCCCAGGGCCCAGAGGTCAGCTGGGACCTGCCCTTCCACCCAGACGCTCACACTTCGATCACTGGCCAGGCCTAGGGATTGCACTGTGCACAAATTCCATGCACCAGGCCTCTGGTTTTTTATTATTTTTGTGAAAGGGGGAAAATACTTTTATTTTTGAGAATTCTACTTGAATAATCTACACTAATAAAAGAGAAACATGGTAATTGGCGTACGACCGCTACCCTTCCCATTGGCTAATCAGCGTATCCTTATGCAAATTAACTGTCAGCCAAGATGGCGGCCAGCAGCCAGGCAGCTGGAAGTGAACATGAGGCTTGCTTGCTCCAGTGACTGCAGACTCCAACGTTCCCCGCCTGACTTGCCGGCCTCTGAGCTGGCAGTTTGAAACATTCTAACAAATATAGGCCCGGGATCTCAGAGCTGGAGTTATACATTGTTTCGATTATAGAACCGAAACAAACCAGATACCTGCTCTCAGAGCTAGAGCCAGAGCTAAAGCTGGCCCAGAATAAAATAAAAAAAAGGAGCGGTTGGGAGCTTCAATCAACAACCGCCAGCCTGAAAGCAGCCCTCAGCCCCTCACCCAGACTGGCCAGGTACCCCAGTGGGGACCCCCAACCTGAAGGGTGTGTGACCAGCTGCAAACAGCCATCATCCCCTCATCCAGGCTGGCCAGGCACCCCAGTGGGGACCCCCACCCTGATCCAGGACACCCTTCAGGGCAAACCAGCCGGCCCCCACCGTGCACCAGGCCTCTATCCTATATAGTAAAAGGGTAATATGCCTCCCAGCACCGGGATCAGGGAGCCGCGAGCCTCCTGGCACCAGATCAGCGTGGCAGGGGCAGCGCCCAAACCCCCTGATCGCCCTGTGGCTCTGTGTGTGACAGGGTGCGGCGCCCCAACACCCCCCCCACCA